ACACACACACACACACACACACACACACACACACACACACACACACATGCACGCACACACACACTGCTCTGGTTTAAACCAGAAAGCAGCTCCTGTTGGTATTATACAGTCAAGTTGCTCCAAGAGCATCTCCTGTTGATATTGTCCAACAAGGTTGTTCCAAGAACTGCCGCTGTTGATGTTGTTCAGTAAGGCAGCTTTCAGAGCAGCTTCTGTCAATGCTGTCCATCAAAGAAACTCCAAGAATAGTTCCTGTTGACCTTACCCAGTAAGACCACTCCCCTTTTCTCAGCTTTGAAGAGATATCCATGTCTTGTATCAGAAAACCTGGTCTCTGTCACAACTGTAACTCCCCATAATGTACATTCTAGTCTGTTTTCATCATGTCAGCTTTTGAGTTCAGGTGGAGCCAAGGGATTATACATGGAAAGGCTGCTCCCCAACATACCATTCAGGGCTCTGTCCCACGAGGCAGCGGCACTCTGGGTTTGCATGGGTTTTTGGGTACCTGCGAGACGGCTGAAGTGGCAGTCTGATTTTTAAAGTTTTGTACAAAGTTTTCTTTTGAAATCACACACATTTTTACTTACTGATGCTGTCCCAGACTGACTTGTTGTGGCTCTTATTTCTGAATTCAAAGCTTGTGAAATAAACAAAATTAACTGATCTGTGAACTAGACTGTGGAATTTTTCTTCTTCTCTATAATTTGATGCTTTGTGGTCACAGTACTGCAACCTGCAACCCCTCAACAGTCACTGAGGATAATGTTATGGTTCTGGTGTGTATTTGCTTTTAAAGAGAAGGAACAGACACGAACACTGAAGATGGAGCTGTCCAACATCCAACTTCAGCTATTGTAGAACGCATACAACAGGTAGGTGGCGAAGTTGAATAGAGTACTGGGTTTGGAATCAGGAAGACTCACCTTCATGAATTCAACTCCTGCTTCAGACACTTACTAGCTATGCAATCCTGGGTAAGTCACTTAACCCTGTTTGCCTCAGTTTCCTCATCTGTAAAATGAGCTGAAGAAGGAAATGACAAACCACTCCAGCATCTCTGCCAAGAAAACCCCAAAATAGGGTCACAAAGAGTCAGATGTGACTGAAACAACTGAACAACAACAACAACAACAAAGAATGCATAGAAAAAATAGGTAAGGGAAAGGAATAAGCATTTATAGAGTGCCTACTATGTGCCAGAATTTTTTTTTTACAAATATCTGTAGAGAAGTTAGGACACAATGAATTTCCCAAGTTTCTCTCTGATTATAGTGAAGACAAAACATGACTCTAAAAGTACTAAAATAATAATGATAATGATAATAATAATAATAATAACCAATTTCATGGTCAGAGTTATTTTTTAGATACTGGGGAGATACAAAGTTTAGATAAAACATGGTTCCTTGCCCTCAAGGAGCACACTGTCTGATGGAGGAGATGAACATAGGCAAATATAGTAATGTTCTAATTTATTTCTTAATGTTGTGTTAGGGGGCCCAACACAGATACTAGATTTTGGCACCACAGTAATCTCAAGAGCCTACAGCTTCTTAAAATAAAAGCATCCTAAGGTGTATCTTGCTTCACTAAAATTTTCTGATACCTCATCATGGCAGTTCACATTTATGTAATAGTTATGAAGTGCTTTTCCCACAACAACCCTCTGACATAGGTAGTGCAAGGGTTCTTACCGCTAATTTACATATGAAAAAACCCAGACAGCTAAGTGGCAAGGTTGATATAACACCTACCCTGGAGTCAGGTGGACCTCAGTTCAAATTTGGCCTCAGAAACTTATTAACTGTGTGAGCCTGGACAAGTCACTTAACCCTGATTGCCTCCCCCAAACAAACAGCCCCCCTCCAAAAAAATAGAACAAATACATATGAGGAAACCAGAGAATTGACTTTCCCAAGGTCACACAGTTAATATGACAGAATGTTAATGACAGAACTGCCACTCAAACCCTTTATTCCAGATTCAGTGCTCTTTCTTTGGCACCATTGTCCCCCTCTATAAATAGGGTATGACAGATAAATAAGTGAGTTTTTAAAATGTCATAAGAGTTCTGATCTTTCTGCTAGACAGGGGTAGGAAGGGATTTAGACAGGAAGGCAAATCGCTGAAAGCTCCATTTGAGTTAGACTTGAAGGATAGATAAGATTCAAATTTAAATGAACCAAATAACTATGATCTTATGATCCCTTCCTGGGAAGAGACAGTGAATCTGACAACTTAGCACAGCCTGCCTCACTTAAATCCAATTCACTTGCAAGTCAATACATCATCCTCCTGATGTCATTGGTCCTCTTTGAGAATGAAGGATGAACAACAATGATCCTTTCCCTTCTGCTAAGTGTGCTGATGTGCAAGGGAAATGAATTTAAAGGCCTTGAATTTGTGCCACGAGAATTCCTTCCCTTCTTCAATATTATGGATCTTTACCACAATATTCCTGATGCTGTTGTTGCTGTTTGTCCTTCATTCTCAAAGAGGACTAATGACATCATGGGATGAGGCCTTGACTTGTGCATGGATTGGATTTAAGTGAGGCAGGGCTGTGCAAAGTCATCAGTCTCACTCTCTCCTCTAGAGTCTTTGAAGTCCAGGGGCAAGACAAAGGTCAAGATGACTGGCAATGGCCCAGGGTACAATGGGTGACCTTGGACTTTCTAAATTAAGGTCTTTCCCGGGTCTCAGTTTGTCCGAGGCCATGCCTATTCAAAGACCAAGAGCTAGGTAAGAACTGAAACCCAAAAGCTAAGAACTGGAAATAAAGTAGATCCTCATCATTTGGCATATTATAGGTAAAGTGTATAGCACTACATAGTTGATGAAGCTTTCCTCACAACATTTCTGAGAGTTAGCTAATATAAGCATTAGAGTTGCCATTTTCAGAGGATGAACTTGAAGCTCAGAGAGTACGAGACTTGGCTGTGGTCACACAGCTAGAAAGTAAGCATGAACCTGAACTGAATTTGAACTCAGACTTTTTATCTCCAAAGACACCTCTTTTACCTGGCATCATTAAGGAATGAGGTACAATCTATTTAATTGAGGTCTTTAAGTCCAAAACTATCAAGTATGTATGTATACATGTGTCTATTTCTACAAGAAATCTTCCTAAAACATATTACACATTTTTAGCAACTTTAATGATCACTCTTGCCTTCTCTAGATGGTCACAAACTATTTCTTTAATAATACATTTTAGGGGGCAGCTAGGTGGTGCAGTGGATAGAGCTTCAGCCTCGGAGTCAGGAGGACCTGAGTTCAAATTAGGTCTCAGACACATAACACTTACTAGCTGTGTGACTCTGGGCAAGTCGCTTAACCTCGATTGCCTCATCGAAAAAAAGCAAAAAAAAAATTAATTCATTTTAGGATATATCAGTGTCACAAGGTAGTTGTAAAGAAAATAGTTTATAAGTGTTGTAGTTCTTTATAAAAGTGTTATTAATAAATGAGTAATTAACTAATTAATTTAAATAACCCCATTTATTATTTAATCAGCTATATTTAATAATTAATTAGTCAAATTAATAAAATGGGCTCTTCTGTGCATAAAAATTAGAACTTTTAGTGCATTAAATTTGTAACATCTCATGGCTGCTTAGAATCTAGTTCCAGCCTCACCCCACCCCCATTCTGGTTCTCAGCTATGTTCTAGATAGAATTATGGGGTCATATAATGATGGGACTGGAAGGGACCTTAGAATATCCAATATTAGAGTTGGCAGGAACCTTAGAATATAAAACATGTAATGTCAGAGCCAGATGAGACTTTAGAATTCATAACATCATGTTAGAACAGGAAAGAAACTCAAATGGCCTATTTTTATTATAAGTTTAACAATCACCTGAAACAAACATTTAGATATATAAAGAATACATATAACACACACAAACATACTTATATATATGTACCCATGAACTTGTTATATATCATGATTTTAAAAATCTACATTAAATTTCAGAAAGTAGCAACAATATTATCATGTTTGTATCTTCTGATTTTTTATTCTGTATTTTAATGTTTTATTAACTGCCCTATTTTTTTTTTGCATTACCACACACTAACTCACAACCCTTCCAAAGAGAAGCCCTCCCTAAAACAAATCAACACATTAGTTACATATGAAAATGTCTCAGGTTGTCCATTCCATCACCTTTCTGCCAAGAGGTGGTGAGTGTAGTAGGAGAAACACTTACTAGAAATAAGAAGACTGGTAGGTGTCTGGCACATAAACTAATTTTCCCCTCCCTTCAAAAATGAAATAAAAACCATTCTGGAGATTTAACTGATCTAGGCAAGACTAAGGCTTGAACAATTGGTATAGTTTTCCAATGGCTCAAAGTATGATCTCCAAACTTCTGGTCACCTATCTCATCATATAATAAAAATGTTTAGAGCATACATCCAAAATATGCAGATG